ACTAGTATGGGTTTCGTGACGTCACGAAATATGTATAGTTAATCAAAAACTGGCAATTTTTTTTTATTTATTTTTTTCGCGTCAAAACTGTGCGAAAAAAATAATGAGGAGTGGCTATTCCATTCTTCCATTTATCGATAGATTCTGCTGAATTGCTCCAAAAATTGTTGATATTCTGAAAGATTAGTCATTTGATAAAGTAAAATCATTGCAAGTGTTCTGATATTAATGACGACAATAAAGTTAATCGCACGACGTTATCGCCACGTTTTTAAATCCCCGTCGACGAGCATCAACGCAGCCATGTTTACAGTCCTTAATTTGAAACATAGAATGGTGACCAGTGCCCTAACATATGGCATAATGTGATATTTCAAGAAAACTTTATTTTTATAGCGCGACAATTTATATACATAAATCTTTGTCATGAAAAACGAGGTACACGAGTGGAACGGAAAAATAGAACGTGAGAACACGCGTTATATTACGAGACTTGGTTTGAACATGGCTCCCAAGAGACCGGAAACGATATGAATTGTTTTTAGCCATTTGGAGGTTTAATGATGCTTATCGTTGTATCGTTGTGTTAGGATTGGGACCAGTCGTATCGCTCTAACGTCTAATTTTACTACAATTTAATCATAAATAATTAATACCAATCTAGCAAATTATCCATTATCTTTACCTTTGACATTTTCAACGTTTCGTCGTCCGTATCCGGCCAACATACTCGACGTATGCTGAACGTCTTTACTGATTTTTACGATTGAAATCTTACCGTTACGGAAATGTCAAACTAAGCCCATTGAGAGAGAGAAGAAAATTAAAATTTGATCAAATTCTTTAGATAACAATTATCAAATTCATCTAGATGATTTACTTTTCTTTCTTTTTTCCCAACTTTGATTAGTTTCTTACTAATGAGGTTTCAACATGCCGCTTATGATGATGATGAAATGATAATTGTCTACTTCCGTTTTTCTGATTAAAGACAGTCGCTCCTATCCTTAATGATATTTTTTTCCATTATCTGTGGACTTCTGTCGACTTATTGGATTCATTGCCTACTTCAAAAATATAATTGTTGCAGCACATGAAAGGATTTTGAACAGTTTAGTGATGCTTGAAATGAAAAGCATATTTTAACTCTGTTTGAACGGGGCTTTAAGATAATAATAATAATAATAATAATAATAATCATAATTTATTTTATTCCGTCTCTTGTCTCATCTGGACGACTAGACGCTTTTTCATGTCAAGTTCTCAGAACTATATTAAAGACACAAAGACACAAAATTAACAACATGAACTGTGGGCTAGTATTCTAAAGAGCAACAAGTAATGATCTAGAAAACTTGTTAAAATATTTCTGCATGGCGGATTGCATTAATATCGTCGATAATTTTTTGACTCTAATTAACTTTTTCACTAAAAACTGTGTTCTAAGGGAGTTAATCAATGTGTTTTCTTGACCCAACTATTAGATTAACACTTAAAAGTGGAATAATTTGCTCCAAAGTCTAGATAATCAAATTAGCGCATTTGGTTTTAAGTGATGACGTTTGTTTTTGAAAGTCATAATTAACAGTAGGCCTATATTAGTAATATTCCTTAAAAAAACAAGTTTTTAAAATTGACGTGATAATTGTTATAATGTGTGTAAGTCTATTCTCACATAATATTTTTTTCAACAAACTGAGAATATGTAAAAGAATATATTATGCTTTGAATTTCATATGAACAAATTTTGTATCGCTACAAATTCAAATTTGCAAAAATCGATACCGTTATAAGGTTTGACAATTTTTGTACAATTTTTTGGCATTAGGAATTATGAAAAGTTGATCTCATAGGCACCATTGATTAGACTTGGATTGGCATCACGCGCCATGAGCTGACTACAAACCATTTGATTGGTTGTAATATTGTATAGTATTTCTCTAACCCGAGTTTGAAGTATCCGAGTTATATTGGAACACCATGAAATATCGGGCCCTCTTATCATCTATACCCCACCCCTATCATAGTACCTTACCCCCCGGGACAACCGCAAACTTCTCAGGTAGGAATCAGATTTTTTCAGAAATTTTCCTTTTTTAATTTGAAATTTGTTTTAAAGAAATTTTGATTTTATTTGAAGTTTAAAACTTTCAATATTATTGTAAATGTCAAATTTTGCCAATTTTTAATTTGTTAAATATTGCATCCTTAATTAGCAATTAATTTTTTTTTAGAATTAAGTCTTCGAACTTTCTTTTTTGTTAAGTGTCAGATTTGATATGTTTGTTTTTATCCGAAAGGAAAAAAATATTTCAATTTTAATTCTTTATTTAAAAAACATTTTTGCCATTTTGCTTGTTTATTTTGACCGTCTTGATAATTGTCTTCGAAAATGTCAAATTCTGCATATTTAGAAGTTTCAAATTAGCTTTTTAAATAAAAATTTCTAAACCATCAGTTGAAATATTTCAAAATTTTAAATTAAAATGAATATTTAGGCAAACTGAAAATTCCAAAAATGTCATCTCGTAAAATTTTCATATTGTGTTCATCGGACATTGAATGCAAGTTTATGAATGTAAATAAATCAAAATTAAACCAATGAAAATAAATTCATTCAAAAACGCATCTAAAAGTGTTTATGAGAAAAATAAACATCATAAGCATTGTTATGAATTTGGAAGAGAATTTTTCTTTGTCTGGGTATAACAATTCTTATTTTTCTGTTATTCCCATATAAATATTATTGTTATTTTTTGCCGGAAAATTTCATATTTAGTCAGTGTTTATTTAAGTTATTCTGTATATATATAAACTAAATATCTAGAATTTCGTTGTATTTTTGTGGATGGAATTCACATGCGAGAGGCGGTAATTATTGTAAGTGTACCCAATTAAACACAAAGCTAAGATAGGAAATCATTAATTTCCAATTAATTAGGATAATTTATAGGGGAAATTAGGAATTCATAATTGACAATAATTATTGAATATTTGCTAAATTTGTTATTATTTTAGATAATTTGAGGGCTGTTCAGCGAATTTTAAGAAAGATCCATTTCCGTTTGAAATTCACAATAAATGTTTGACTAAGGAACATATTTTACTTTTTGTGGATAGCATGCAATATTGCGTTATTATACGTTCTACAGAAATACAATTATGATTTACAGCAATAGATGTCCATATTCAATAATTGAACAGCTCAAATTGACTCTGCAACAAAGTGTTTGGGAATTGGACATACCTTTCGGAGAGTTCACATAGTTAGTATTGTGTATTTGGTACATGCATATTGTGTTTTGTTTACTCGTCATACCTTCAGAGGATTCACATAGATACTTATAGTTTACCGTGTATCAATATTGTACAACAATCGCATAAAGCGTTTCTCGTAAACCCCCACCATTGCTTCCGACAGTTGACACGGTGTCGGTTTTAAAACTCAGTACTTGTTTCATGTGAAAGTCAAGTCTACATCACAGGTGTTAGCTACTTGAAAGCATGTTTGTTACATTTTCAAACCACTTTTTTTAAATTTATCATTTCTTGTGTGTCGACCACCTACTGAGGCGTCTACTACCTTTGTACTAAATAATATTCACTTTTGATAAATAATATTCACTTTTTACTAAATTATATTCACTTTTTACTAAATAATATTCACTTTTTACTAAATAATATTCACTTTTTACTAAATAATATTCACTTTTTACTAAATAATATTCACTTTTTACTTAATTATATTCACTTTCTAAATAATATTCGCTTTTTACTAAATAATATTCACTTTTTACTAAATAATATTCACTTTTTACTTATAAATATTCAACTTATTCAAGATTATCGAAGATTGTTTTACGCCAAATATTTAGCTTCTTTTAATCTTTATGAATGGTCCCAACCTAGACTTTGTCAAAAGTTTAAAGAGCTAAAAAAAAAAGGAAAAAACAAACCAAAATCCCACAAAAATCATTCCGACATAACATGAATTTTTAAGGCCTCAAATTTTATCCTTGGTGCTGCCTATTCAACAGGTTAAATAATTTTCTATCTCTATTTTGTCAATGGTTCCGATTCGGTCTGTGATTTGTTTTATAGAAAAAAATAAAAAAAAGAACTATTCCAAGTCATTAACGCATAACATGAATAGTTAAGGCCACAAATGTTATCCCTGTGACTGTCCGTTTCAGCAGGTTAAATATTTAACATTGTAGCCAGTTATTGAAGCTGTCTTTATATAAAGATCAGTGAGGGGCTACTCACAATTAGTGTTTATTTGTAATACGAGTTTTTATAACCCCACTTTATCCACCCCTTTCTCCTGTTGGCAGCAATTAAAGCATTCGTATATTTAGCCCGATGAATAAATTTAATTTGTCGTACATGTGTTAAACCCGTAATTTTCACTATCGTTTGCTCGCGAGCACGTGTCATATCGCACCTGCATGCGGCCAGTTGAAGAGTGTGTTTAGAATCTAGTTTATTTCTGGTATCTCACGACCATTATGCTTTGATTAGTTACACGAAGGAGAAGTAGGGATTATAAATTTCCGATTAATGTCATATAGGGGTTTTAAACAGGGGGTCTTTTATTCTCTGAGCATCATTGACTGATTATTTAAGTGCCTCCTCACATTATCGACTCGTCATTATCAATTCGACACTCGTCCTTTCCGGACGACTTTCACTTCTCAAAATCTCTGAATATTTAGGAAGCGGTGAGTTGGATATGGAATTGTGTTGATTATTCAGTTCTTAGAAGATTGTTTTGGATTTTTGGACAGACAATATATATTTTTTTCTGTCATAAAGCTGATTTATTATTTGTTTCTTCTTCTGTTTGTCTGAATTCTAGAGTGAATACCTCGAAAGCACTGTCCTTTGATTGTTAGTTTTGAAATCAAAGACAAACGGTTTTTAATTAGATTATTGAGAGTCCCGAAATCACTGGCTGGATTTGTTCACATTAGTCAAGTCTTATTTTTTTCTAATTTCAGGTCTTTCTTCGGATCCACCGAGATCGACCTCGAGTACTGTAGCTAGCTCGTCTCCTGCCGGATTCGAGCCCCACCCTACAGAAGAGGCATCATCCTCTATTTCTACCCCAAGCGGGACAATAGCCACTCACGATAAACCAATGTTGCTCCTACAATCACAGGTAAGACCAATTTTAATTTTTGAACTAGTTTTTCTATTTCATACTGTCGAGTCATCTTTAACATGCACAGCTTGGTTTAATGTTCCTTTCGGCAATGTCCAAGTCCTCCCTGACAATCTTTATCTGACATGCTCCTTGTTTTCCAAACACCTGACAGAATGTCAGAGATCAAAAATAAAGAAAAATTTCAATTGTAGTAGCGTAAGGTTTTTACTTTGATTTATTACGGTCTAGGTTTGCAATGCACTTTAAAGAAATTCTCCTTTTTAAAATGTACATAAAAATTTTAATTTCCAAACTTGGCCAATTAGAGTATAGATAAATCAGTTGACGTATCAGATAAGTATACAACAGAATCCCCCTATACGCCGATAAATCCAAAACACCAAGTAATTATTGTAAAACGTCTTTAATTTTAAACGTTCAGTTTTATTTTTAAAAAGTTTTATTTGGGTAGTATTCCTTTAATCTTCGCTTGTCATAAAATTAAAAAGTTGTCTGCAATGGACCAAAAATGTGTAAAGAATGTCATATTTGTAAAATTAATGTTTTATGTTTCTCATTGACTTGAATAGCAATATGTTTGATAAATGTGTTCAATTGTAGAATTTATTGTGTTCTTAAGGTAGAAATGTCTGCTTCCGAAAAAAATCGAAGATATATGCTGAAACTATTAATAACGATTGTCAATTTTTTGCATTTTCATCATACTTTGAAAAGAAAAATTGTAAAAAACTGCTTTTTATTCCGACTGAAAAAATTACATAAAGCATTTATAGAAAAATATTATTCTGAAAGGTACTCTTAAACTTAACTACTCTAGTCAACGGAATTTTAGAGGCAGCAAAACAAACGAAAGCTTTATTGCTAGCGTGTTCATCCCTTAAATAGAATATTTCGACTTCAATTAACACTAACAATAAACAATCAGTATTGCTAATATTTTTTGATATTTAAAAGGTAAAGTTCCACAGACGTATTCTGTCTAAAATTTTGAATGACGAAAATCACTCCTCGATATACCTTTAATTGCCAAGTAACATGACAGTAAACCACGATGCTTTTTGAAATATTTAGGAGTAGGTCTTAAAATGAACAATTATAAAGATTTGTGAAAAGTGATCAGTTTAATTGAGTGAAGTTGAAAGTTCATCATAAAACCATTGACAAGACATTTATTGGGGGACAATTTGAAGCCATATGTTCTGGCACTTGATGGTTAATATTCTCAACTGTCGGCACGTGTAATGCACGCGTAAACTCGATCTTGACAAATATCATTCCAGAAATAGCTCCATTCTAGAACAGATTGGCAAAAATAGAATGTTTTTAAATTCAGCCAACCATAACCATGTTTTCGATCAGATTAATCGCAATAATGTACATTATTAGAAACCGTTTTCCTAGTAGGGGGCGCCACTGATAACTTCAAATTATGATTGACATATGGTTGATTTGTCGGTGTGGTTACACCACGTGCCCACGTTCCATGAATCAAGAGTAATTGACGATGGTATTGAAAAGGAAATGACGTGGTTGATGTCAAAATCATAAAGGACGAAATGAGATAAAAATCATAATATTTCAACATCTCTTATTGTCCTTAACCCTAATTATACCGACTCGTGTTTGTGGCCATTGATAATGTTTTCCCTCGGTAAATTAACCCTTTCATATCGGCTGTGGACGTCGAGCGGTGCATATTGCACTGTGAAGTCTATTAATTCGGGATATTGCTTATCTCTTCTCTTATCAAAAATAAAATTAAAATGTACAGTAATTATTAATTATTATCTTGCACATATCAAATAATTTGATCTTACATTTACAAAACTGAAATATTAATGGAAGTCAAAATATAATATTTCATATGAACCAACCAATTTCAACTGAATTCAATACAAAAAACAGCGCTTTATTGAGAAAAGGTCATTTTTGAGAGTTAGTGCCTCTTTAGTTAACAAGTGAAGGTGCAATATTCGATGCTCATTCGAAATTCAATTTCATATTATAGGGCCAATTTTTAGTGTTAAAATATGTGGCTTTAAAGTTAATTTTTCGAGAATAAGGCCCTGTGTTTTTTTTTTTTGTTTTTTTTTTAATTCAATGTAATGCATTATAAGTGACTAGATATTGTAATGAATGCATATATTACAATATATTAAGTATACAATTGGGTGTATAAATTGGCTATTATTGGCCAGTCGGGAAATACATTATATTCGTACTCAATGATACAATATCAAAGCTAAAACATTTTTACAATATTACTTAGTTTCTTAATATCCATTTCTTTTGTATTTTGCAGACCAATTACGAGTCGGCGGCGCCAGGAATGGGCGGAAATCATTACGGAGCGTACACTGGAAATATCACCCCGCCAACCACAATGGCCGACATAGGCGTTTTCTCAGCCTCATTTTCAGTTCCACTTCCGGACTTCCAAGCAGACCAGTCATTTGCCAATGAGGACATCTCCGATAATTATGCTTCCGGTTACGAGAGCAGCCAATCAAGTTTGACGAGTTTTCAAGCCCCCGACCACGCACAAACACCGGCTTTTCACGAGCCTTACAGTTTTGAAGGAAGCTTTGCCTTACAACAACGCGAGACTTCAAAGCAACCCTACAATCTGTACCAAGACCATACGAATTTGGGACACGAAAAGTACGGAACGCCAGTGACGTCATACGAGGACGCTTTCCAAGGTTTTACTCCCAGTGAACAGGAATTCTTTCAGCATCGGTTTTTGGATAATCAAAAGTCCTACTTGAAACAGCCTTATAATGATAATCAGGAAATATTTAATCAGACCCATCTGGGATTTACTGACATGGATAACAAACAATCAGTATATCATACGTACGACACCGCCGGCCATTATGCCGCCGATAATCCCCCATTCCCCGGATTCGCTACTCCTTACTACGGAAATCAGAGTGTGTCCTGTGCAAATTCTAGTTTTTCATTTACGAACCGACCTGTGCCTGCCTCGTACCTAGGCGATTTAAGTATTCCGATGACCTCACAGCATTTACAGAGAAGACCGTCGTTATCGATACCAACGCCACCTACACCGGATATGTAAGTATATTATCTCCCTTTCAATCTGATTAAGACATTGATGACATGTTAGCCATTTTGTTTTTATGGAATCTCATAGGACTACTGATCATACTCTGCTATTATCACGAAATCAAATATGATTTCTTTCCATATTAAATCACATGAAAATCTTATTTATGGCTCATCAAAAATTTAATGTATGAAGACTATAATTTTGTTAACGTGGCCAATCGAAAGTAGACCACTGTAGGTGTAAATATCCTCCTGTATGGTAATCGGATATTCTTCTACATCTGAATCTCTAATAATTTTTCCCAATCTTGATAGCCCGTGTTGTGTCTTCCAGGCTCGACAGACAGAAATATCAGCTTCAATCACCAACCACCCCACCAACCCCTAGCTCGTGCAGATCCTCACCCCCACGGGATCAGCCAATGAAAGAAAGTCTCCTATGTGCTGTATGTGGTGATAATGCTGCTTGCCAACATTATGGTGTTAGAACTTGTGAAGGCTGCAAAGGTTTCTTCAAGGTATGTTTTTATTTATATTCTCAACAAAGACATAGGTTATGACATTTGGGTCATGTGTAGGATATGATATGTAAATCAAGTAGAGGTTGTGGTGGGGGGGGGGGGGAACGCCACCCATGAGTCAGTACATTTCTATTATCACCCAAATTGAATATAGACCCATTCAACTCTTTGTATCAGTGACATGGTGGAGCATAAGTAAAAGAAGTGGATAAAGCTCACGAATATAACTTTACCATTTTCAGAGAACTGTTCAGAAGAATGCCAAGTATGTTTGTCTGGCAGATAAAAACTGTCCTGTGGATAAACGAAGAAGGAATCGGTGCCAATTCTGCAGATTTCAAAAATGTATGGCAGTAGGAATGGTCAAAGAAGGTGAGTACTATTTGCATGGAATGTGATCGTCTAGTATTCAGGCCATGGCCAGTATTTGGATTAAAGGTTTGTTCTCTGTGACCAGTTGGTCCATGGCCTAATCCTTGATCTTTTCCGGATTATCAGTACCCATTTACAGCTGGGTCGACTGCAATAATGAGGAAGATGACTTATTCAAGGTCGACAGATTTTGACACCCGCCGACTGAGATAAGAACCCACAATCGTCATTTTTTTCGGCGTAAATTGAAACAAAGGTAATATTTATTGACCTATATTACTTACCAACTTCACTGGTTTCTATCTAATGTTTCACTGTTAAATGTCAAAAGATACGATAGATAAAATAATCTCATTCATTCAGTCAGTCCGGTCAGGTAGTCATTCATTCATTCATTCAGAATTCATTCTTTTAATTTATTTGTTATTTTTTATCATTCATTGATATATTTTTATTATAATTTTCTTGCATTCTTCTTATATTCATTTGTTTATTCACTCATTGATACAGTCTTCAGAATGTTTTGCTCATTCATTCATTCATCAGAATCCTTTACTCTTGCTTCCAAGACGTTACATTGTCATATCGAAAATAAACTTTGTCTCTAGTAAATTTTTAAAATGTAAAACCAATTTAAGTTTGGAGTTCGTTCAATATCGTGTTTTGAAATGTACTTTTTGCCTTTGTCGTTTTCGTGATGCTTATCAATTAATAGTAAAGTTTCACAGGCTTGCTCTGATAATTTGTTTCTTACATGGCGCCGAAACTTATCTTACTTAAACCTCCACGCGAATTCCCGTATAAAAATGGTTTTATGATAAATATACGTGGCTAACGGCCAGTATCTAAGAACCTATCAAACAATAACGACGAGAAGCATTAAGATATAAGTACAATGGTTATTGTAACCAGATAGCGACCATTAGAAATCATCTTAATAATAAGTACAAGTGGGTACCTGCCGTGTGAGTGACTCCCCGAGGGCAACTCGTAAGATAGACTCTCTAGATCTTACCTGAGGGTAACTCAGTCGAGTATTGTCTATGTACAGATGTTTCTTGTTGGTGTACCACTTTCAACTGACTGCAGGCCGATATCCTTCTTCAAGCTATTGTTCCAGTTCTCTAGTCGACATCTACGGCAATTGTTCAAATTTTCTGACCACATTGTCACGTGATCATTTTTATGTCATTTGCTAAGAATTTTGGAACTTTTAATTTTTTCAAAAGATACAGATAGACATTTTGAAACCACTGAATTTCATAAAATTCAAAAAATACAAAAGTTGTATTTCGTTATGTTAGAGGTATTTTTTATGTGAAATTTGACTGACTGTTTCGAATGTAAATTGATCTCTATCAAATGTTTCAGTTTACAAATCACCGTTTTAATGCGGTATCTTCAAACTGTACGATAAATATCTCGTAACTAACCCGGAGCAAAAACCTCCATATTGTCAAAATAGTTGTCTAAACTCTTTAAAAATGATGGATACCAAATTTCATAGGCGCCATATAACATATATAATATCTTTATATTTAACGCCATGAGCCAAATAAAATTGTCCAAATATTGTTGTTCAGAAATTCTGGCCTTCCTTTAAGTCGTAATTTCAAATTTTTCCCATATTATTAAATACTCGAACCTCTTATAAAATTCCAACCCATTTCCTTCGCTCTTTAACAAATCATGATATGAAATTTAATACAGCATCTATTGCGTTTATGAAACAATTTCATGTGTGGTATCATTTTTCCTGCCTCTTGCCAAATTATTGTCAGTTTAAGAAAATATGCAGTAGAAATTATTACTGTGTGGATTCAGCTGGAATTGAGAATAAACGGACATGTTGCTTATTTGAGTTGAAATGAAGGTTTTAATATTAACGTACATGATCCCGCATTATAGACAAATCAAAAACATTGCTATAACTATAGACAACATTTGTGAAGAATCACGAAATGTGTTTTGACAAATAAATCGACATTCTTGCAGATTGTTTATAAGAATTCAGAAAATTTCGTATTGTTCACATTTTATTGTACTTCTTACGTTTCGGTATAACTTTCATTTCCACCCATCCTAATCGTCAAAAGAATTTTAAGACGTAATCAAAGATTTGAAATGGCCAATATATATTTTTTTTCTTACCACTTTCCAAAGAAAAAAAATAATCAAGTCCTAAACAAGCCGCCATAATTTTTTTTTTCATAGACTGAATATGTGCATGTCTTCTCATTAAAGAGTTCCTTACAAAAATAGTAATTAAATAACGGAACACAATTTCATGGTAGACAATTTTTAGTGTACGCAACGTTTCAACAATTAACATAATCACCATCACGTACAAATATAGTATGAATGTATACTCCCGAGTAGTACACAACTATTTACATTGTCATCATCAGTTTATATGGTATACTACTCCCGAGTTATATTGTACACAACGTTTTAACCATTTACATTTTGTGTTTTCCAGTTGTACGATCAGATAATTTGAAAGGAAGACGAGGTCGTTTACCATCTAAACCAAAAAGTCCCCAGGAATCACCACCGTCCCCACCAGTTAGTTTGATCACTGCCCTGGTACGAGCTCATGTTGATACTTGTCCAGACCTACCCAATCTAGACTATAGTAAGGTAGGTAACTCTATTTAAAAAATTTTGTCTGCTCTTTTGTGTGCAAAATATTCGTCTTGTATTCTCTATTAATAAATACAAAAGAGGATGAATTGTGTGCATCATGATAATATTACGTCATCTTTGGTGATATAACGTTATCCCTTTATATCATGGTGATATAACGTTATCCATTTATACCATGGTAATATAACGTTATCCCTTTATATCATGGTGATATAGGCCCTAACGTTATCCCTTTTACATCATGATGATAAAAGGTAATTACATGCAGGCCTACGTCGCAGTTATAATATTACGTTATTCTGCTTCCATCGTGATTATATTACGTTTTTCTGCATATATCGTGATAATAAAACGTTATCCTTTATAAATCGTGATAGACCGGTCTTTACCCTTACAGAAGCATCTGAAAAAAAAATATTATGATACATCCACATGTCGTTTCTTTCTCCTTTCAGTATGTATCTAAAAATTTAAGAGTTTTATCATTCTTATTAAATATAATTTGATATTTATAGTTCCGAGTACCAAGTCTGGAAGAATCTGCAAGCACCGTTGCTTCTGGTGAAAACTTCAAGATGTTTTACGACATTCTCATTCAATCCATTGATATCATTAAAAGCTGGGCAGAAAAAGTTCCTGGTTTTACAGACCTTTGTAAAGAAGATCAGGAATTGCTTTTCCAATCGGCAACCTTAGAACTTTTTGTCTTGAGAGCAGCTTATAGGTAAGTATTTTTTAAAAATCGAAATTGACAAATTTTCATTTAACTTGGATCGATTTGAGGACGAGCGGTAGCACGAACGGATAGAGCGTTGAAATCTTTAAATAGCGTCATTTGTACGTTAGGCTGGGATGTATCCACCCATGATGTTTACTATAAGATTGTTTTTTTTCTATTTCAGAATCCAAGCTAATGACGATAATATTATATTCGATAATGGTTTAGTTTTACATCGGCTACAATGTCTGGGTATATTTGGCGATTGGGTCAACTCTATTGTGGACTTTGGACTCAGTCTTCATCGTATGACCCTTGACCTGTCTTCTCATTGCTGTATGGCTGCTCTGTCTATGGTGACTTGTAAGTATCTTGATTATCTTTTCACAAAAAAGTCAATGCTAAGACTCTCGACAGTTGAAATCGAAAATAAGAAAGCTAATGCCGCTGATTTGATAGAATTCCTTATTGCACACTGCACAACATTGCCTCTCCTTAAATTACTGAAATAAAAGTAAAACGTTAAACTCTCATTTCATTTCATTTGAAAAAGTGGTCTGAGTGCAGTCAGGAAATTTAGAGGGTACAGTTCTTTATCTTTTGACTCTATTCAAAACACCTCTGTCTGTAGCTTATATTATCATATAACTACTAAAAATGACGGATATGTTCGCATTAGAGTTTGTTTGGTTCCTTTATGACGTCATTGATATCAGATATTTAATTATTTTCCTTTGTATCTTTCCAGTACGCCATGGATTAAAAGAACCACATAAAATGGAAGAACTTCAGATGAAAATAATCGATTGTTTAAGGGATCATTGCACCTACAACAGTGAAGCTCAAAAGAAGCCAAATTTCTTCTCAAAAATCTTAGGCAAAATCGCAGAACTCCGTAGCTTAAGCCGCGAAGGACTTCAACGTATGTTGGAATTCAAATTAGATGAAGTGCGAGCGCCACCTGTTATAGAAAATATGTTTCTTTCCAGTCAACTTCCGTTTTAAATCACCCATCATTCAAATGTATCGAGCTATTTTGTGATAAATCTATGACAATTGATTATAACTATCCAGATTCAGGGCCAGTGATTTCATGATAATCCATGTGTCAGGGCCAGTGAACGGTGACAAAGCAGAAGAATAACGAAGATTTCAAAAATTACATAATGCACAATGTAAAATATGATTATATCAAAAAACGCCGATTTGAAAGATCACTATTATGGAAGACTGCGAGGGCCACAATTTGAAATAGATCGTAACGGCCACCGACTTCCATAATGTCCTGTTATTCAGTTGTGAAAATTTGTAAATTGTATATTGAACACTTTGTGCACTTTACATTGTATATACATTTCAATTGTATATTTAACTGTTTCAAACCAAAGCAAATTATTGCCTATTTACGTAAAAAAAAGAGTTATGCCCCTTTTCTACCTCTGCAAAGACTAGGTACGTTTTAGATGCATATCAAAGTTATAGCTTAAAGGGATTGTTTAGGTTTTTTTAAACACCTTATAATCCCTTTAATACATAAACATAGACATAATACATTTTTCAAGCTTGCGATGTATATTTCAGTCACTCCCCTAACTTTTATATTATAAACAGACACGCCCCTTTTATCTTCACAGATTTGAATTATAAAGTATATAAATATGTATAAAGTAAATAAAACTTGGCCACACCCCCTTGTATGATTGACACATGTACATTGTAACTTTTTACCTTATATATATTTTTCTACCTAACTTTTCGATACGAATATTCGATGTTGATCCATTATAGAAAGACTACCGGTGCGTTAGGGCGATTTTATAATCAGAAAATCTGCTTCAGTAGGCGTAGGTTGTATGCAAGTCGAGATATACCATCCTATTCCACGATGTAAAAAGGCTTAGATTTTAATTACTTTTCTTTAAATATTTCTAAATTTTTCAAATTTCTAATATTTTTTCCATTTCTAGAGCCACCAGTATTTGTAAATATGCTCATTATAAGAATTGTTTTCATTTTATTTTTCGATATTTTTTCTAATTTTTTAGAAATATCTTTGAACTAAGCAACTGTACACAGATTTTAGCTTTAGATGTTATTTTGATGGCTATTTTTTGTCGATCAATTTTCACATGATGTCAGATGCGTTACCTTATTACTTGCTTGACGATATTGCTTAATAGTCGATGCTATTGTTACTTGTTTTAATATTATTGTTACATGTGTGACGATCTATTTAAATGCATGACGATATTGTTACATGCGTGACGATATGGTTACATGCATGACGATATTGTTACATGCGTGACGATAATTATGTTTACATGCGTGACGATATTGTTACTTTCGTGACGATATTCTTACCTGCGTGACGGTATATCTCGACTTCAAAGTTTTATAATTTCTTACCAGAACGTTTTGATGTTTACCAAGTTATTCAGTTTATTTTATTTCACTGTATAGAGAATTTAAATGTCGTAAAAATATGAAATCTCAGTTATTGTATAAAATGAAAGTAAAAGTTTGTAGATATATCTTTATTTATGTGTAATAGAAATGTTGTACTATGTTTTCTCTGCAGAATAAGTGCTATATGACATTGTTTATCACTAGTTTAAATTATGGATCATTTTATTTATTATTATTATTATTATTATGTGTTCCCATTTTTTTTAAATTAATATTTTTGAATATATTTGCATATATTTGCATTGGTTATAAGATCTAAACGTATAGCCACCATTTTAAATAGTCATGAAGCACTAGCTTACGCAATTCCGCGCACTAAATATTGTAAAAAATTGTATTTTTATATCATAATTTTGTATTCTTGATCGAAAACTGAAATATCTCTACAGTATGGTGCAAATATGATATCTGTTTTGAATAAGAAGTATAGTGCTATCATTTTTTGATATTTTTTTCACCTTGTGGCCAAAGGTACTTGCCCGATTACTCAAGAAATTACCCATTATCAATTTTTGATAAAGCAGTCAAAAATATTGACAAATCGGACATGTTAACTTTAAAATGAAAATTTGACAATCAAAATGAAATGGAGTTTTACGTCCTATTTTCTGCACCTGATTAGGCTGATGATGAGGACGGTCGACAATCAAAATATATATTGAAACTATATTAATTTATGCACTTTCGTGGATATGATAAGCGGCATAATCATTCCTTAGACATTTTCATTGGCATATTGTTGTTATTATTTGCAAAAGCATAATTAAATTTCTAAATATTTTGCATAATAAGTTGTATTTGATATTTGAAATTGAATTTCCTGTTAATATTTTGAACACCATAATGTCTACGAAGCAAGCATTGTTTTAGCTTCTCATTTGTAAGACTAGTTGCATAATATATGCAAATTAATCAGGCTAAACTATACAATCCGAGATCAAATTTCTGAAATTTATATTATAAAAGAAAATTGTAATTTATTAAGATGGGTCGAATCTAGTCATTATTTCATATTAAAAAATACAAAATAATTGAATCATGTTTTTATGTTTGTTTCATTTGTCATTTCAACCGTTGGTCATTTTGTTTATTTCAAGAGAAAAATAGAAATTTGATTAAAATATCTTGAAGAGAAAAACAGCAATTTGATTAAAGTCTCTTGACGAGGAAAACAGAAATTTGATTAAAGTCTCTTGACAAGGAAAACAGAAATTTGATTAAAATATCTTGAAGAGAAAAACGGAAATTTGATTAAAGTCTCTTGACGAGAAAAACAGAAATTTGATTAAAGTCTCTTGACGAGGAAAACAGAAATTTGACCAAAGTATCTTGTAGAGAAAAATGGTGAAATTTGGAAATTATATTTACTTGATCAAAACTTTATATGTTACGAGAAATACAGACTTATTCGAAGTAAACATGTTAAATATAAGTCTGTTGGAATTATAAAATCTCTTAATATAATAAGCACTGGCCAAGATCCAAATAAAGAGATCTTTTCACTGAAAATGTGTTACAAAGCATAAAAATATCTCCTCCCAATATCCCACCACATTGTTTCGCTGTTGCTATGATTATATTTAATTCTGTACAGGTTCAAAACTTAATAAAAATGTGTAATATCACAAACATGTATATTTGTATTTATTTACTCATTGGTATGGTCACAATGATATTTGAGCTCATCCAAGTCCCAGTCTAACCAAGAGCAGTCCACTACCCGAAACAAATTCCCAATGACAAATAGGAGTGCATTTGAAAATTTAAGCAATGCCTTCCAGATAGTTTTATTTTAATATGGGAGAGATCGACAATGATTATGTTACTATTGCATCCATAGGCCAATCGGAGCAGAGCATTAGGAGTTGTTATGATTTATTATCTAATGGGAGCCGATGCTTGGCTTTACACGTGCGTTATTGTTAAGTATAAAACGATTGGCTTGATGTTACCAGAACTTTTAGTGTACGATATATGATCTAGCTGAAAGTGGTCGTTAACTTGTCATATACAAACAAAACAACCACTATAAGAAGTAGTCTGTGATGGATAAAAAAAGATCTGTTAGTCATTCGGTAAGTTGACATCTCTGGTACCTAAACAATATGAATTACAAAATCTGCACCCTCGCCAGCCTCAGTTCCGGGTGGAGCTGGGGGTCTAGGAAGGAAGAACCGCTGTAGAAACGCCACGGCTGTTGTTGTTGCATTGCCTCAGAACTGAGGGTGATCCGACATGCTATTTCAAGGCTGTATATAACCATCGATTTGACACCCCTCAACTTTCTATTGAACTCTTCCATACATGCATAATTACGATCAATATATTAACCTCTATATATGTCTATGTATGGTATTGGAAAATTAGGGATGGTTTTGTGTTTTTTTATATACAGCATTGGTTATATATTTATTACTTGACTCTGCAACTTTGATTCCCGTTTCTACTATTTTAATTAGGCCAGGGTCGAATTGATTACATCTCAACAAAAATTGTAGAATCTACAACCTTACCTCAAGTTCCCCCTATGGCAAACCAGTCAACACTGACGAAAACGGTACGTTAATTTTTATTCGCCCACATAAAATGGGGGGGAGGGGGGGGGGGGGGTATATTGCCGTCACCCATGTCCGTCGGTCCGTCCACAATTGCTCGTAAACACTCTATAAGACACAATTCTTGACGGATTTTAACGGATCTCGGCATGAGTGTTTGTAATCACCCAACGATGAACCCTATTGAAAATCAGAAAAATCGAAAAATATTAAGTATGAGTTATTGCCTTTGTTCTTTGAATTTTTAGCTCGTAAACAATCTAGAAGGCACAATGCTTGGTGGATTTTGACGAAACTTGATATGAGTGTTTGTTATCAACCAAGGATAAACCCTACTGGAAATCAGAAAAATTGGAAAATATTTAGTATGAGTTATAGCCCTTGTTCTTGGAAACGCGTTCAATTTTTAGCTCGTGAACACTCTAGAAGGCACAATTCTTGACGGATTTTGACGAAACTTGGTGTGAATGTTCGTAATCACCCAAGATGAACCGAATAATTGAAAATCAGAAGATGAAAAATATTTAGTATGAACACTCCTTGTTCTTGAAAACGCTTTCAAATTTAGCTCTTAAACACTAAAAGGCATGATTCTTGCTGGATTTTGACAAAACTTGGTTTTATTATTCAGTGCCGCGCTGAAGATTGAATATTTGCCTTCTAGAGTTTTCACGAGCTACAAATTGAACACGTTTTCAAGAACAAGAGCAATAACTCATACTCAATATTATTCAGTATCGCTCTAAAGAGTTCAGAAGAAGTGTATGACTGAAGGTTGAATATTTCATACTGGTGATTGTTACTGTACTGCTAAATATTTTTATTCCTAAATCTAAGTTGCCAGTGGGCGTATATTACCTTGCCTGGCAAGCTATCTTATTAACAAGTCCACGTGGGGTGGACTGAGAAGCTCTGGACCACCTCACCAATGGGTTTCCATGAGTGGGGTAACAAAACAAGTCAATCCTTTTTTTTTCATAGACAATTTATTTTTGAACATCACAATTAGACTGAAATCATAAACGTGACTATTATTTCTTGTATTTATTGGCAAGGGGCGTGGTTAAATGATATTTGCCCGAGATACTTGCTTTATGAACAAAAGAATATACAATTTGTACATATCAAAGCATTACATCATAAAATATTCATTCTAAATGTACGTTCACCGGTTTCAAAATGGAGATACAAAAATATATATGTTTTTGGTTACTAGATCAATTGAAATGTAAATAGACAAGTGGAAACTAATAATAATTTTAGGTAATACATTTTAATGTGAATTCATTAAAATTCCACTAAATTGAAACATTTTATAATACCAAATATTTGATCTACAAAGAGTATTTTCGTCACTTGATACAGATATTCCTTCATTGTAATCAAAACCAAATATTGTCAAGCTAAGATCAAAAGATAAACAAGAGCAGTTCACTTTATTTTTGGGTAGAATTAATATTAATTGAGACTATAAAACGCAGTTTTTGAATTGTCCCGAACGTGCACAATATTTTGTTCAATCTTAAATGGACAATATTTAGCACTAAAAATCATAAATTTAACTGATACTTGAAATAAGGTGCGCATTATATTCGCAATTATACAGTAGCTCAAAAACATCAAACTATGATCACCGGAATTAACAAACTTTCTTAAACAAACATCTAAACATAACGAGCACTTCAAATTATCTTCTAAACCTCTCAAATATTAACATTATAAAGACTAACATAACTAAACATAATTGATAATCTCTCAAATCATCTTGATTTACTAAAGATAGTTGAGTTTTCTATCTTATGTAACACTTGATAATTAACAACTCTGTAAAAGGTCATCTTGATTTACAAAAGATAGTTGAGTTTTTTTTTTATCTTATGTAACCCTTGATAATTAACTATTGCACAAAGTAGATGATATTGAATAGTTAAATTAATGCCAATTACCTGAAGTCTGAAGACTTGCTTCATGAAATTATTGAAATCTTTTGATAAATACTAATACATATATATTAGAAAATTATATAATTTTGCTCTTTAATAAATGTAAGAATTTTTGAATGGAATGTGTTCTCTACTTAAGTCATTAATCAGCCCCAAATCAACTCAGTTTTTCAAACAATTATTTTGGTATTGGTATTTTTTATTTTGGTTGCAACCAATCAGAATGGTTTATTTTCTAAAATTTTGATATTCTTGCTCAGATTTTTCTAAAAAAGGAAACCGTATCATATAAAGTTTATTTAGTCTTTTGAAAGGGAAAATATCAATTCATTACTAACAAACCTGATGCCATATTTTTACTTGAAAAGTGATGTGGGTAATAAAAATTGAATTCAATGGAAAAATGTGTTGCTGCAGAATGCATAATGGTTTGATTTTGCTCAAGTCAATTTATTATTTCCCAGCCCTATTTTTTTTTATAAAAATGTTCCCCAATTGCAAAATATATTTCTAATATTCCATGCGCTATCCAATAAAAGTTCTGAAATCTGGAAAAAATAACATCATGGCAGTATCTGTGTTTATTTTCGTGTGAATTCATGAATTGAGCCCCCAAAAATGTAGCTGGTGGGATTCTAATTGTTTATAAAATCTAGATATGTAGTCTATGTGGCACCCCTAAACTTGCTTTTGAACTCTTCCACACATTCATACATTCAATCAATGTGACTGATATATATATATATATATATATATATATATGTGTATGGAAGAACTCATGTGTAAAAAAAAGGGGTGTTTTTTTGTAGTTTGTTCACATATTGTAAGCATCATACCATAGTTCACCAGAACTTCTTAATGATCTGAAAAGAAATGAAATGGAGTTAATATCCTACCTTTCTACTCCTGGACATGGATTGACCATGGGGCCTTGGTTTAGTGTCAGAATGACTAAACTTTCAAAGTTAATTTGCTATTGATATCCTACATAATGCTCTTTGATACGTTAAAAATAGCCTCAATAAAATGGAAACTTGTTAGATTACAATAGAAATGAAAAATACAGAAAAATTGAAGAAACGAAATTGTTGTATAATTTTAATTGAATAAAGATGATGGTATGCCTAGAAATAATTAAGAAATTAGGACTTGACTTACCCAACAATGTCTCCAAAGGCAGTTAATAATGGCTTACTTGTATATTCTATACCATGTTTCTTACACAATGATTTACATAGAGGCATCACTTTAGCCAGATTGTGACGTGGCATTGACGGAAATAAACTGAAAGTAGAACAAATTTGACAATGAGATTATAGTTATTAGTTCTATTTGATGTTTACTGTTGGTATTTTTGATACTTACTAAGCTTCTATTTGATACATCAGTTCTATTTGAAACTAAGTGATGTTCTATTTTACACTCTCTGATGTGTGATTTGATTCTTTCTGATTTTTTTTTTGTCATCAGATAGCTAAAGCTGTTTGTTTGGCATAATCAATGATGTTCTATTTGATTCTCAGTGATATTCAAATTGATACTTGCAATGTTCTATTTGATTCTCAGTGATTTTCAAATTGATACTTGCAATATTCTATTTGATTCTGTGATTTTCAAATTGATACTTGCAATGTTCTATTTGATTCTCAGTGATTTTCAAATTGATACTTGCAATATTCTATTTGATTCTGTGATTTTCAAATTGATACTTGCAATGTTCTATTTGATCTTAGTGATATCTTATGTGATACTTGCAATGTTGTATTCGACCTTAGTGATATCTTAGTGATACTTGCAATATTGTTTTCGATCTTCGTAATATTTTGTTTGATACTTACAACATTCTATATTAGTGATATTTTTTTGATACTTGCAATGCCCTATTTGATACTTCCAATGCCCTATTTGATACTTACTGATGTTCTATTTGATATTTGAAATGCCTTATTTGATACTTACTGATGTTCTATTTGATACTTGCAATGCCTTATTTGATACTTACTGATGTTCTATTTGATACTTGCAATGCCTTATTTGATACTTACTGATGTTCTATTTGGTACTTATTGATGTTCTATTTGATACTTACTGATGTTCTATTTGATAATTAAGATGTCCAGTAAACCAATCATTAAAAAATGAAGGATCAACATTACATGTGGCAGCTAACTGCATTGTGACCCAATCACTACCCTTCTCTTTGTCCACTTCCATTGGAATATGATTCATCTGAGTTGTCCACACAAACCAATGGCTTTCTAAAAATCTGTGTTCAGGAAAAAAGAATTTGGTTAAAGGGATAAGTTTTCACAGGATTTTTTTTTAGCTAAGATAATCAATAAAAAGAAAGTTCTAGTTTTGAAGTTTTTTTGAAGAGATATTCAATTTTCATGCAGACTATTTACATATATCACCCAAATCAGCCCCCAAAAATTGCATACCTTGGCCCTCAACATAATTCATTAAGTTTTCAGAATGGCATTTGATGAATTGAAAAATATGCGCTCACTGTGGTCAGAGAGTTGATGAACACTCAGATAAATACAATTTAAAAAAAAACGTTGCCATTTACATCATGAAATAGAAACCTACCTGACAAAGAAATAGAGACCCAGAGTACCCCAGAAACCCAGGAACTGATAAAACATCAGCTCATATCTCACAAAAAACATAAACATCCAAAACATCTCCTAGAGAAATATATCATCATTATAGTAATGTACATATTTAAAAGACATCACCTCAGCTGTTTGGGGTACAGTGTGGGAAACAGGGACATAGAATATCTGAAACTAGTAATGTCTACATAGACTCATTAATAATTTAGCTTTATGCCAAATGCTGCTTTGCTCATGGTGAAAATCAGCAAAAAAAAAGCCCATGAAAAGTGACATATCATGTTGGGTCTTAAACGTGCCATCTGTATTTCACGCCAGAGAAAACATAAGCTTCTGTTGCTACCTACCCAATATTTGCGAAACTTGAATAAAAAATATGGTACTTCAAAATTGAAATATATAGGCAATAGGAACGGTGGTAATACTGGAAAATAAAATATATTACTTTATTAGATATCTGAAACATGACTAAAATAGACTTTGAAATCGAAGATCAAAGTGTTGGCAATCATTTGAAATACGGTACTTCACAATATAATTTGAAATAATTCAACAATTATCAGTGGGATACTGATTTGACAAACCCAGTTGCAAAGTGGTATTGAGTGTGCTCAGACTAAGAAGTAATACTTACTAAAATAGAAATATGTTTGCTGTTTATTATATGGCATAAAACCTTTCTTCTTTTTACCCCACTGTAACCAAAAATAGAATAAGTATGAATAAAGTGTGTATTGAATTTCTGTAATCAGTCTTTAAAAGTACTATAACTGTATTTCATAATCTCTTTATATATACTTAATAAAATATGTTTTCATTACAACATTCTGTTTAAAATATAAAAATAAAGATAAAAATAAACTCACCTCAATAGGAAGGTTTTTACCAATTAAAAATAAATCTTACCTCAATGGGAAGGTTTTTACCAATTAAAAATAAATCTTACCTCAATGGGAAGGTTTTTACCAATTAAAAATAAATCTTACCTCAATGGGAAGGTTTTTACCAATTAAAAATAAATAATCAAGTCTAATATCTGGATCTTTACGAATAATGTTAGGTTTAGCATGATGTTGAAAATGACGATGATTCCACCAAGAAGATGAAACTCCCTGAAAATATAGATGTAAATAAATTTCATAAAAAACATGAAAAAGTGGGATAAGTGAGATCTATGCTTGGGTTTCCTGCATCGGTAAAGGGTCAGCTGCATCACAATTTCTGATTCAAATATACTCCTTTTGTGACTCTCTGTGTTCTTTGAAACATTGCAGAACTATGGACCATTTACTCTATTAATGGTTAGATTCATGTTACTAGTATATGTTTAGTAATGTTGACATGATATATCAGTGAATTGACAAATTACACATATATCACATTGTTTATCTGATAAATACTTGAAACCAGGCAAACTAGACAAACATGTGTACATGTGTTTATCTAAATGTCATACAAATGCATGAAGTGTTCAATTTGCCAACTAACTTTGGTAACAGTAAACCATGAAGAAACTGTGAAGATAAATTGCTACTTTTTTATCTTTTATTAATATTGCAATACATATCATATCATAGCCTTATAACATGTTACATATCGTTTCGTGATATGACTGACAATACCCAAGTCAAGTATAATCCTTCAATAGCAACAGTAAACTGTTAATGGCATTATTTCACATGCTGCTGTAAATCCATCAATCCCGCAACTCACCTTCAGAACATTGATTATAAATATATGAGCATAATGGTTCCATTTGGAAGAGTTAAAGACTGACAAATGTCCGAAGTCATGCTGTGTCCATCCAGCTTGTGCCTACAAATAAAATATAGAAAAGATTCCTGTTAATACAAGCAAAATACATGCCATATTTACATTAAATTTTGAAAGTAAATACACTTTGCACCTTTGGAAATTGATGCTATGCATTTCTGCATTTGCATGCCTGTTTTGGTAACATAAAGGAATTTGTACAGAGGTTTTAATTTTAATAGACATTCCAATTTTCATTCAGACATCTGTGATTCTTGCAATTCTACATAATAAAAACTAAGCATTTGATGACATCACTATGCAAAGCTTTTGATAATTTCTTAATTTACTTAACTTGGGGGGATTGGTACCAAAGACATTTTAAAACCTTGCCCAGAGAGGGGAGTATTGATGTTTAAAAATTGGGTGTAGACCAAACCAACCTGAGCCGTGACTAGTAATATAGCTGTAAATAGGTAGGGTATGACTCCAGTGCCGAAATACCATAAATTGAGTACTGCTAATAGTTCAAAGACTAATATCTGACCCACGGTCAATCCGAAAAACCATGGACTAGCTTTAAACATTCCCATTTCTTCAACTTTCCTTCGTAACTCCCTAAAGTCTTTCTGTAGTTCAGTCTGAAATCAATTAAAATCAAAACTGATGTCACATATGAAAAAAGCTAAGAGGGATTTAGTTTAGAAAAATTTTATAGAGGGATTAAGTTGTAAAAACCTTAGAGGGATTTAGTTGTGCAAAAAGCTTAAATAGAGGGATTAAGTTGTGAAAAACCTCAAAGGGATTTAGTTGTGCAAAAACCTTACAGGAATATAGTTGTGCAAAAAGCTTAGAGGGATTTAGTCGTTAAAAAAGCTTAAATAGAGGGATCAAGTTGTGAAAAAAGGTTAGAGGGATTTAGTTGTGAAAAAAGCTTAGAGGGATTGAGTTGTGCAAAAAGCTTAGAGGGATTTAGTTGTGTAAAATGCTTTGAGGGATTTAGTTGTGCAAAAAGCTTAGAGGGATTAAGTTGTGGCAAAAGCTTAAATATAGGGATGAAGTTGTGCAAAAGTTTGGAGGGATTTAGTTGTGAAAAACGCTTAGAGAGATTTAGTTGTGAAAAAGCTTAGAGGGATTTACTTGTGAAAAAAGCTTAGAGGGATTTAGATGTGAAAAAAGCTTAGAGGGATTTAGTTGTGAAAAAAGCTTAAAGGTCAATATAATGACCTGAATGTTCTATTCTATTTCCCCAGTCCCATTAAAATAAACACACACTAATATATATATATAGTTTCTTCTATTATTTACAAAGGTTGATAAAAATACAGTTTACTTTCTCATCTTAACATCATACATCCTAGGTGTTGGTAAATGGCATTGCCAATCTATATTAACCAAATATGATGAGATGTTTAATCTATTTTTGAAGAAAAATAATGTACCTCATAATCCTCTTCTTTACGAAGGTAACCAACTTTTAATGGCTTCAAATATTTCATGACCATGTCTTTATTACCATGAAAAGCTGTCCAGGCATCCTGAATAAAAATTAAATTAAAACCATTAAATTTGCCACTATCGAGCATTCAAATAAATTTTGGATACGGTAGTTATTTTACCTAAGGCAAGGGGAGGGGTACCAGCATCTTCAACATCTCAAGCTATTATGAACTTCGTATTTATAATAGCCAACCTCTCTTGGATCACAGAATACAGTTATCTGACTGGATTTGATTCTAGCAAAAATACAGCCAATCTGCAGCTTCAATAGAAAGTCCATGACCATTGTATTAGCTGTATTGCCTAACGTACACTAATGGTGGCTATTGCAGTCCAGGTATAAGACACAGTTTGTAATAGCTTGATGTTAAGAAGAGGGGCCAAGGGATTACGTTTTAAATACTTTTAAAATTCAAGTATTCTTAGAACTCAAGACTAAAGATGATACCACCTGAGCCTCTCATGAATATTGAAACACAACTTCTGTATCGTGTCATATTGAAAAACAACCACCGTATAGTATACTGCACTAAATTAAGATAAAATATAATAGGTGAAAGGTTATAAGACCAGTTGTACCAATAACATCATTTAGTATATAAAACAAAGATAAGATAAATCAGCTTATATATCAAAAACAAAAATATTGTTATTTACATTTCTTGATAAACAAATGACATCATTGATTAGATAATACTTCAAATTTTTGCCTTTTAAAGTGACAGGTTAAAACAGATACACCACGTCTGATTTAAAACATAAACAAGAGCAGTCTGAACTGGATGTGCTTAAAGGTTTATCTAGATCCTTAATTTATGTAGCACTCTTCATGAATATCTTTTATAAGACATTACCAGATATATTTTCCATTTTTACTATTTTTAGTTTGAATTCTCAATTTCAAAAGCAAAAAATTCAATCATCTTTCAATTCTCCTTTAATCGAAACAAAATTATTGCCACCTGATAAGCTGAGGCCATGGTTATCCTACCAATATTTTTGACTCCTAGGGCCAGGCCAAATTTTTTTTTTCTCGAAATCTCTTAGTACTATACCGTACTGTAGGACTTCCATAAGCAAATTTTGATATAGTCAAGAAATAAAATGAGACATTGTTACTACCAAAATAAATTCCTATACAGTAATTTAACGTGATACTGGTAAATTGCCCAGCCCTAAAGTAAATAAAATCTAATTAACATCATTAAGCCTCCATAGTCATTGATGAATAATAATCAATTTAATTGTATTTTAAGTTTAAACAAATTGGCTGAGGTAAAAAGTACATTTTCTGATCTGATCTGGAGGGGATTTGTTTTTTAATACTTCTAGGCCTACTTAAAATTTATCAGAACTTGTTTATGCAATTGGCAAAAGGGATTTCAGACAGGCCTAAGCTAGGCAACCGGTAGGTTAATGCTAGGCTAGTTGCATGATGCATTAGGAAACAGCACTAGACAAGCAGACAGCATTTATTATTGACATAGACAAGACAGCAAAACTCTAAAGACAGTCTATCTATATAAAAATTAGTTGTGGGCCTACTGCAATAAAGTAAAAAGAAATGGGACCTACCGAGGCATCTTCTCCGGCATGAATGCCAATTATTCTTTCGCCGCCTGGATGCTTCTTGGCCCAAGTCGAAACGTTGTAGACATTTCCTTCAATGACGATCCATCTGTCCTTCTTCGAGTTATGTTTCCTGATTTCTTCCCAGGAATATTCTGACAGATCGTCTGTTTTCTTTTCCCCGACACACATCTTCATTCGTCGAATTTAATTACAGTTTCGGTCTTGTGTTTCCATTTAATTCTGAAAATGTCTTGCACGAATGTTATTACAAGTACAACTGAGGACAGCTGATTACCAAACAAAAGTGCACGTACCGGCATTAATGACCTTAACCTTCTTGACCTCTTGACCTTAGTCGAATCATTTTATTGACCAATCATATTCTTGAATTTTTCACACTCTCATGTCGCGATTGTTCAGACCGATTTTTTTTAATGAATTTCTAGTCTCTGACACCCAGACTACTCCTGTCTTCGACCACTCGTATCAACTTCGGAAGTAGCAGGTCATCCTTTGATGGTTGAGTAAATGTCATCTCACGGAGGTTGTGCCGAATGGTATTCAACACTTGTATCAACTTCGGGACTAAAATGCTGCAATGTTCATTTCACGGAAACTAACATTTCCTTTTGCGGAATGAGTTTACAACAACTGACAATGCGGGACTGGATTAAGAGGCTTTGATAAGCAAGACTACGACTTAATTTTATCAAAAAGTGGGCTTTTGTTGACCATTTCATGTTATAAAGATTACCAGAAGATAAGATTATAAATTGTTGGATATAATAAGTTGATAAAAAAAAAATAAACTATTATTCCCTTTTCTATCATCACCCGATATCACCTTATATCAACTGATCTTGATAACTGCCAAACTGGGTTATTTGACAGCACGTGCGTAGCCTTAAGGCGGGAAATTTTACTAGGCCACTCTGTAAGCAGTGTCGGTTCTATGAACCATTAGGGCGGTGGGCTAGAAAGGGCTACAGAATTATTAAGGAGAGGGCGCGCTGAGCAATATAGGCATTTAGGAAATAAAATGGAGGTGTGTGTCGGGGGGGGGGGGGGGGGGGGGTGATGTGACGGCCACCCTTAGTTCTGCCTTATTTGCAGGTTCAACAGACGTCTGACAGAAAAAAATTGAAATGGCGCATTTCAATGGTAAATCAGTAACCTCTTTACAAGCCCTTTCACATAGGCCTATATGTTTTTTTTAAAAGTTCCAATATTAGAAATTTTTATCTCATATTTTTGAAGTAGTTCAAATTGTAGAATTTGTGGGCAGACCCAATAGCAATATTTAAAGTATTAGGTGTAAAGAATTAAAGTGTGTTATGTCATACATTTCTGCATTAAATTAGGCTATGAACACAGGTAAAGCCATGCTGTGTAGAATGAAGAAAATTTTACTGTACGGCAGCATTATTTTCTTTGTTTTACTCTTTTTCGATTTCCAAGGGATCTTTAACCTTGTTTTATTGTACTAGATGACATGTCAAGGGTATATAAGCAGATTTTAGTTCAGTACAAAAACCTTTATTAACAAGTAATCATAATTTCTTTAAACATTTAATCAGTGAGTCTCTGATTTTAACTCGAATAGATTCATCACCCTCACAAATAATATGTGTTGAATCTCCATCAACTTGTATTAATGTATCATCATTTGGCTGAAATACACAATTAAAAATGACATCATGTAAACATTCCAATGCTCTAACTGTGGCCCCTGACTGTGATACAAACGATCATTGCATACTTTGATGTGGGATAATCTTGAAAAGAGGGTTTGGAGACAGAGGCGGAGCCAGGTTTACGTCCGAGAGAGAGCGAGGGGTTCGAGAGATTGCCCAAATCTTTAACCTAGTTATGAGATTTTTGGCCGAAAAACTTGCTTTCGGGGCTGCGAGGGGGGGGGGGGGGGAAGAGTTGTGGGGCGTGGCGACTGCCCCTTCTGCCCCTCCCCCCTTTGGCTCCACTACTATTTAGAGAACAGATCATTTCAAACTAAAATACTTGACCTAGGACTGTTAACAAACTCAGATTCACTAAAGCAACTTACAAGATGTATAATGGATCCACTTCCAGTTTCCTCAACTTTTATAGATGATATTCCTTGCTGAAAGAAACAAATAAATCTTATAGGGATTGTAAAGAGGTTTTCTTAGCCATTTAAAGCCACCAAACCACTGGTGTTGAAAGAGACAATGATACCACTTAAGATTTTTCCTACTTAATGTATGAATTAGAACATTGTTTTAATCTACTACAGTGAAACATGGTAGAAATATGTTTTATAGTTTATAATTTTTTAAGATGATACCTAATAATTTAGTTTTGTCCTACTAAATAAAGAAATATACACTACTGTCTTTACTTGCTACAGTGAAACATGATAGAAATATGTAACAGTTTAAGACATATTGAAGAGACAATAACTTAAAACTAAATATAAGCATACCTGTGTCATAACATCTACAAAAGTTTGAATGTTAGGAGAACCAAAGATATAGGACTTTTTGTGTACATTAAATCCATCATGTGAACGTTTTTGACCAATAAGAGCATCTTTAGGAAGAGGTTTTAAAGTGTAAATGTTATCATGAATTTTAAGTGAACCAGTTAACATTGTGATGGCTGACCCTGGCTTGACCTCCACTGGCTCCATTTTTGCTGCTAACTACAAAAAAAACAGAAAGTTTCATTTTTAAGAAGGATGACATCATAAGTTCAAGAGGACCCTTTCCAGTTGGTCTTTTTCTAACGTAATTATGAGATTTTTGCCCAAAAAACTTGCTTTCAGGGCTGTGAAGGGGGTGGGTGTGGGTCAGCTAACCTCTCTGCCCCGTCTTTAATATCATTAATATTTCAAATCAAAAGTATTTACCTCTGTATCAATGTCGACTGACTGAAATTTTCGTTTAACAGGAAGTGATAATACTTGACCCCTACTGTAGGTAAAAGGGGATGGCTCCTACAATTCATAAACAGATTTGAACAAGCTTGCTGAAGCATGTAACATTATGCAGACACATTTTCACAAAAACTTGATATGTTGCAAAAATGTTTTACATCCTACTGTTCTGTTGAGCTCATAAATTTAGGCAATGCCATGCTGGGACTACAGAATTAGCCTCCTTTTTTTCCGATGTACATATAAAATTTCATTGTATATTTGTCATTTGATAGTGTGTAAATTCTGTTAAAACTTTACATGCTTTGTTATGTAATAATATATTCCTTGTGTTTTTTGTTATATTTGCTCTTTGCTTCTTAATGTCATTCAAATCTTATAAAAGGGAAATTGGGGAATTTTTAAATGAAGTGGAAATCTAAAGAATGTACCCAGTCTATAGTGAGATCTGTTCTATGGGCTGCCATCATGGGTGGTGTAGTATATGTCTCTGATACAACTAGATGTAATGGACGTAAATCTTTTAATAATTTATTAGCTTGACCAAAATCTAAACTGGTATCAATTGGACAGTAACAAACCTGGAAAAGAAATAAAATTATTTCAGATGAAAAGAGCTGGGTAATATACTGATATCACTATAAATATGGGAATTTATATCATTAGTAATATAGTCAATACATATAATATTATCATGATATACCATCAAGGAGCTGGGTAATATACTGATATCACTATAAATATAGGAATTTATATCATTAGTAATATAGTCAATATATATAATATTATCATGATATACCATCAAGGAGCTGGGTAATATACTGATATCACTGTAAATATAGGAATTTATATCATTAGTAATATAGTCAATATATATAATATTATCATGATATACCATCAAGGAGCTGGGTAATATACTGATATCACTATAAATATAGGAATTTATATCATTAGTAATATAGTCAATATATATAATATTATCATGATATACCATCAAGGAGCTGGGTAATATACTGATATCACTATAAATATAGGAATTTATATCATTAGTAATATAGTCAATATATATAATATTATCATGATATACCATCAAGGAGCTTTTTGTCCAGATATGATCATCTACAAAATTGCAATAAACAACTTAATTTTTAAAACTAGGGCATGGTAATATACTGGTATGAAGGTAAATACCTGTATAGGAATTTATATCATTAGTAATACTGCCTTATAAATACCAAAATATGTCAAATTTTTGTTCAGATATCATTTGGATCATACAATTTTAATTAGTAAATAAATATTTGAAACTGATGGTAATTTTTCATGCTAAAACACATTTCAATTAATCTAAAAATTTATCTTAATTAGTTAAAATTCACCTACTCTCATGGATAAAGGTTGAAATGGTCCCAAAGCTTCTAAGTATGGAAAGTCTGGCTCTGAAAGAGTAAAGATTCGGCTCTAAATTTACAGGAAGCAGCAAGATTTTTTGATGAATCAAATCATGATATGACAAACAAATGTGTACACATATAACTAAACATCATTGTTCCATTGTGAATGTAAACCTGACAACAGTAAACCAGTCCTTTCACAATAAATTACTAGTAATATTATTCTGTTACTATCTGAAAATATACAACAGTATAGTAAAACATTGTTGTTAAAGATTAATAGCCTCATATTGCTATTTGATAAAAGCCTCTTTAGGCAATGGACATACCTGTAAATATAATAGTATTAGCTGCATGTTTCCCCCATAATTCAACAAAATGTACCACATCTCCCATTCTTAAAGATGGATGCCCAGCAAACATAACACATGGTGCCTTTACTTCTAGATTCATATCTACAAAAAATGAAATTAAACAGATTGTAAATAGATTCCAAATTTATTATGAATTTTAGGGAAAATAATAACATCAATTTGCTGTATTTCTATTTTCAGTCAGATGTATTTTTTTCATGCAATTCTACTTAAACTAAGCTTTTTATGATGCCACCATCACAAAGGTACTGATTAAGTCATTTGACTTTAGGAACTTACCATTCAAGCTTTTGAAATTTTTTAATCGCCCTTGATTTTGTAACTACAAAAAAAATTGTATTATAATGTCAAGCCTGAAATCATTCAATTCCATAAATCTAAGTGAAATACTGATCTGATAGGATTCCTTTCAATCAGCTGGTCCAAGCTAAACCTCTTGGCATATATCGATCCCATTTCATCTGTTTCCTTTTGAGGTTGGATTTACTGGAATAATGGAGAAAGATGACTTATTCAAGTTCACCAGATTTTCATATCTTAACTGAGAATAACACCACAACAGATATATATATCTTTATCTTACCTCTGCATGTGGAAAAGGACACTCTGGTAAATAAACTTTAGATTGTTTATTCTGGGACAACCTACAAATAAAAAATGTGATACAATAATCCATGTGTGATATCATACTAATCCATTTGATATCATGTGTGACTACTGAACTGTTATCAATTGAAGCATTGTGTGAAATTATTCAAATCATAAGTGATATTTACTGAACCATATCATGCGAGCCAATGTGGTATCTAGAGAGCCAATGTGGTATAGAGTGAGCCAATGTGGTATCAAGTAAGCCAATGTTGCACCATGTGAGGCAATGTGGTATCATATGAACCAATGTAGTATCAAGTAAGTCCTATTGCACCATGTGTGCCAATGTAGTATCAAGTAAGACCTATTGCACCATGTGTGCCAATGTAGTATCAAGTAAGACCTATTGCACCATGTGTGCCAATGTGGTATCAAGTAAGCCAATGTTGCACCATGTGAGGCAATGTGGTATCATATGAACCAATGTAGTATCAAGTAAGACCTATTGCACCATGTGTGCCAATATGGTATCAAGTGAGCTAATGTTGCACCATTTGAGGCAATGTGGTATCAAGTAAGACCTATTGCACCATGTGTGCCAATGTAGTATCAAGTAAGACCTATTGCACCATGTGTGCCAATATGGTATCAAGTCTGAACTAAAAAATATCTAACCATTCAGCAAAGATGTTGGAGTAAGCTAAAGCACTATCTGACACTGGTGAAAGAAAGTACATCGGTATACTAGCTAGACCACACCTATCTAGATGTATAGACAGTAACTCAAATAAATCATAGGTAATACCAGATGGATAACATGGCACCAGAACATTACCACCATTCTTTAATGTTACAGCTGGAAATAAATAGAAGTCAAAATACTGTAACCACCTAAAGAAGGCTATTTAAAGGGATTGTAAAGATGTTTTTCAAACTTTTTATGTGTATTGAGGACACTGATGGCATCAATCTGAACCTTCCAAAGTACAGTGTGTAGCACAAGGGGCTTCAGTTTACTGTCTTTTCTTTACAACTAGAAACTTATTCCATGTCAGTCCCTTTTGAGAGGGCAATCAGCTGTTCATAAAAAAAACACCCAATAGTTTTTTTTTACCTGTATTAACGCAGAATTCACCAATCATGGCATCCGGATTAGCTAACGGTGTTTGAGTCAAACAGCTCAATATTAAAACATCACTATTGCGTAATGGTGACTGCTCCAATGGCTAAAAAACATGAAAATAGAAAAATAAACACACTGCTTGGGCTTAAATAAAGGTAGAAAGAGAGAAAGGTAAAAAAGTTAGCTGCCTGGTCTTAAGTATTTGGTAGAATAATGTGTAGGATCTTACCTTTGGATGTGTGGTTAATGTAGAAGTTCCTGATACATAGCAAACCTAAAATCATACAATATATGAAAAATACTGATTTAGGATTATGTATATTAGAATAGAAACAAACACTGACAGTTATATGTTCTGTGGTCATTAAACTAATTAAACATTCTACTGATAAGTTTTCTATTTGTATTTTAGACATCCCTTTACCAATCCAACTTTCATGTGGTTCTTGCATTGATGTAGATACTGCAAAGATATCAATAGCACCTATTGTGATAGTGACGCTCTTTAATGGAGGATTGAATTCAAATAAGATTTTAATCTTGAGATGATATAGTGCACACCTTTTCATGTGTAGACTTAATTACCCAGTTACTGCTACCAAGGCTATACCCTGAACTAACTGCTGTTGACTCAACACAACCATATATATTCTACAAATATAATTAATCCTTCAAAGAAAGTGTTGTGGTTAAGTTGAAGCACACCCAGTGGGTCCTATTTCAAATGATGCATTATGGGATATTCAGAGTGAGAGATCAACTATCTTAGTTTAGATGAGTTTGCTTTTTGTAGGTTGAAAAAGCTTCATTGTATATCATGTTGTGTACTCCTAGCCTTGAGAACCCTACATATGGAGTTCTACATTTAAAAATACCATAATTATGACAAAATTGATCGTAAGATGTTCTCTGATCTCCATATTACAAGCTTGAAGTGTATGTAACATACATCACTTAGTAACGGCCTACCATTTTTATCATAAAACAGTCAAATTTTTAATCTGCTTTTAATGAACTTTATTATGATCATTTAGATTAATAATATTTAACAGATTTTCAATCTAAACTTACCATTTTTTGGTTGAAGCCGACGACTTGAACCTTTGATAAACTAGAATCAATATCATGTTTGGTATAACACTGTTTCCATAGTAATGGATTAACAGCTTCTTTTAATGGTGGTGGTAAATTTCTAAACAAGTAAAGAACAGGATACAAAAAGGATCCAAAATGAAATTTTTAAATGGTTTGTCTGATGTCACAGCCAGTGCTTTTGAAAGTCTGTAACAAGTTTTATTGTTGTCTGCTTGGCAATTAGGTGCTACTTTTGTGTTGGCCCAGTTTCAGCTTTATATCACAACTATCTTATGATCACCCTAATGTCTGTTAATGTCAGGTAACACATGCCCACTACCAGCTGTCAGAATGATAACAAAATCTTTAATGGCTTAAAAATAAATTTCAAATAATCTTATAATCATCTATAAGTCAAGGCAAAAACCTGAAAAAGTTCATCAAGTTATCATGAAATTCAAACATGAACAATGTCTCATCGCTGTACACACAAGGGCCATAACTCGGAAACTGTTGATTCGATTATTACCAATTTCTAACTTGACTGAGATCTCATCATGCATATCTAGTTTCATCAAGATTGGATAAAAACTGTAGTCTCTATCGTGCCTGCAAGCCGAATTTGACAAGTTTTTACTAAGTAAAGGGCAATAACTCCGAAACCCTTCATCCGATTGTTACCAATTACAAACTCGAGTGAGATCTCATCAAAATATACATGCATACCTAGTTTCATCTAGGTTGGATAAAAACTGTAGTTTCTATCGTGCTTACAATCAAAATTTTGACGCGTTTTTACTAAGTCAAGGGCAATAACTCTGAAAAGGTTCATCCGATTATTATCAATTTCGAACTTGACCGACTTCTCATCAATATATAGATTCATACCAAGTTTCATCAAGATCGGATAAAGATTGTAGTCTCTATCTGCCTACAAGGCAAATTTGACGCGTTTTTACTAAGTCAAGGGCAATTACTCTGAAACCGTTCATCCGATTATTACCAATTTCGAACTTGACTGAGATCTCATCAATATATACATGCATACCAAGTTTCATCAAGATTGGACGAAAACTGTTGTCTCTACCGTGCCTACAAGGCAAATTTGATGCGTTTTTATTAAGTCAAGGGCAATAACTCTGAAACTGTTCATCCGATTAATACCAATTTCATCAAGATCGGATAAAAACCGTCGCCTCTATCGTGCCTACAAGAAATGTGAACCGACGGACGGACCGACGGACAGGGGCGACGGCAATATACGTCCACATTTCCATGTGGGCGTATAAAAATGCTTGTGGTAGCTCAGTTTGAAGTTGTCATAATTAAATCACATCAGAATCAAAAGAACTTACTTGATAATATCTTCATGTTTCCATTTAGAAGATATATTAGTTCTAGGATTTCTTTCTACATAGTTCACTAGTTCCTCCATATACATTCTATAATCAGAATTTAAAAGGATTGTAAAGAGGTTTTCTAAACTTTTTTTGTGTATCCAGTATCTGATAGCATCGATTTGAACCTTTTCAATCAGAGGTCTGTGGTTCTTGCGATTCCCCTAAAACAGCATTTTTTTCTATCAACAAAACAATCATCTTAAGAAGCTCATTGATTGGCCAGTGTCACTTCACAATTTTCCTAGTGGTTATGAATGTCTCCAAAGGCACACCTACCTCCCTACTTGAAGAGCTGGTTCTGTGGCATAAACATAGCCTTTAAATCCTGTATACTCAGTTATATAAGGTAAAGCTAACATACAAGTACTGTTAGATATCAGTATAGCATCTATTGAACTTAAATCTAAAATCTTCAACTAAAAATAGGCACAGACAATTAGCATCTCAATGAAATTAAATGGAATTGTAAGTCCTACTTTTGAAACAAGCAACACCATAAAGTGTGCAATAAGGGAAATTTTGACAACTACATAAGCCTACTCTTTTTTTGAATCTTAACTGTAATGATCTGTATAAGTTTTAATTGTCCTACGTCAGCCTCTAGAATCTAAATAACTGACAAGGGGAGACTGGATGTACAAATCTGTCAATCAAGTTTCTAAATCACAAAAAAACATTCTCTGATTTCCATTCTTAATTTTAGAAAATACTGCATCATACCTCTGGAGTAGCTAATTCAAAAGCCCCATCAACAAATAATCTACCAGAACATTCTTTAACTTCATGGCACTGAAAAATTCAAAACTTCAACATAAACCATTTTCAGAGAAGTGGCAGTCTTTGCACTTTTCACATTTTATTCAAATTCAGATATTTGATTCAACTTAATTGATTGTTTTACGTGGAAAGTTAGCTGATCAATCTATGAAAACTACCGATCAAAATCTAGAGTTTCTCTTAACTTGTCTAAAAGTTTAAACTAAAAGTTGTCTGCAATTAATTTGGGGAATGCCAAAACTATTTAAAACATTAGCTAAAATATCACAAAAAAAACTGTTATCTGATTTTTGGGAAACCAAACAAATTGACAGCAAAAAAAAAATGACTCACAGCTTCTCCTAGTTTACTCTTCTTCTCAAAACCTGGAGACCAACTTCTAGCTTTTGATATCTGTGTCCTGAAAATGAAAAATCTTCTTTTTTTCTGCATTTTTTTTTTTATTAATGTCAGTCTATTGAAGCAGTGGTGGCACCAACCTCGCTAGACCAATGGTACAAATAGGGAGTAGACTGAAATAAAGGGGGACAACTGTAGTTGTTGAATTCAAAACTCTGTGGCCCCGACAAGGAGTGTCTAATAGAGCTCTCCATGAAAAATTGAATTGTTATTATACAATTCATATTTCAATATTTGTTAGAAATAGTGGGAGTGCAATTGGGGGTAAAAACCAATTTGCTACTTCAATAAAGTTTCTGTTTCTAACCCTGGTACAACTGGAATGGGAAGAAAATGTTGAACTTGAGCAATATCAAGACCACAATCTAACATTACTGTTACTCCTTTAAAATACAGCACAAAACATGGCTTGCTCGGGTTACTGGACAAGCAAACCTGAAATTTAGACCAGATTATTTTAGTCATATAAGCCTAAATAAAAGTTATCCTAATAGAACGATTAATTGAACAATTACTCATAATTTTGTGTTGTTTGTATCTTTCTTTCTGATTCCTAAAGACACCATCCTAATTATTAAAAGAAGGCTATAACAATTGTCCTTCATTTGGACAGAGTTAGATAGGCAATGTTAGTTATTCAAAAATAAAATTACCAATTTCATCTTTGTGAACAATATTACACTTTTGCAGCGTCAGAAGGTTTCAGTAGAATTCAAACGCAAATAAATGAGCTAATCCACTCAGCCTCTGATCTATCTTTTTGTCGGATAATTGATAGAATATAACGATAACAACAATCTTATTCATGCATGTATCAACCGAACTCTGATTTAATCATTCTGAACTGAAGAAATGGATTCAAATTTAGGCTAGATTTTTTAATGTCTATATATCATTCTTTAATGTCTATTCAATTAGACCTATTAATTAGCCCTAAGAACAATTAATCAATGGAAGTGACAATGTTTTATCTCAACAGAAACAGAATTTCATTCATTTATTATGATTTGAATCGATGCTTTATCTTGACAGGAAGTAAACATATGGCGCGCGTCTGACGCATTCAGTGTTTGACGCGAGTTCTAGAAAACGTGACTTGGCTACGAATTGGTAAAAATCGATTGCATCTCGTTACATTTCCTCATTGAGTTTGCGTACCAGTAACTTCCGGTTACAGTAACATGTGAGAAGAGAAACAAAGTTTCATCAGATAATTGAAAAGAAAAGCAAATAAATTTGACATTATTATCTGGTTTGAAGGATTAGTTTCACGGCTGAATAAATAACCGGGCGTTCTGCATAATGGCAGCGCGAATTTTTAATGCCATTGGTCGAGTCGGTGTTGGTTTGTTTGTGACTGGAGCTGTAGCACAATCAGCTCTATATAATGGTAGGTCAAGGTCAAATTTGATGCACATATTTTCCATTCATTTTTCGACTGTGACATAATAGGTTTTGGTAATATATCAGCAATTTACAAATCCTAACCTCCGATCACAAAAATTGCAGACTGCATTTTGGCATTATTTTTTTGTATGACTTGAAACTCTGACGGAGCCTAACTAAAGACAACTGGACCAACTGTCTGTACGATAGCTGAATTTTCCATTGCACACTGCATGGCAATACCATAACCCATAAAAGTAAAACTTTCATCATTTCATTCATTGTATTTTTAGTTGATGGTGGTCATAGAGCAGTTATATTCGATAGATTTCGGGGAATCATACCAGACGTTGTTGGTGAAGGTACACATTTCCTTGTTCCCTGGGTACAGAAACCTATTATATTTGACGTCAGATCGCGACCCAGGAATGTTGTAGTTGTCACGGGCAGCAAAGGTATGTAACTTCTGGAGCAAATGAAATAACTGCTCAAGATTCTATCTATGAAGACATACAGATATCTATCTCCAAAATAATTGCCATATCCAGGCCAATGGGACTGGTTTGTAGTTAACTTTACCCAGATTACTTCCTGAGGTCCCTGTCTATCAACTACTATCAGCTGGTCTGTAGCCAAACCTCTTAGCATTGATCTTTCCTGTATTATCCACACCCATTCACAACTGAGTCCACTGATAATTAAAGGTTTTGGACATGAATGAAATAATAAAAGTAAACAGTTGTTTTATCTTTGTTTCAGATTTACAGAATGTTAATATTACATTACGTATATTGTTCAGACCAGTTGTAAAAGAATTACCTAGAATCTATACCAATTTAGGTGTGGACTTTGATGAAAGAGTACTTCCATCCATTACCAATGAAGTTCTTAAAGCAGTTGTTGTATGTTACATTTTGTTTATGATTATATAGATATTATTTGATATTATCAACTATTCATATCATGTATAACAAGGCTGGAACAGTCACAGCTGATAATTGTTACAAATAGTTAGGGAAAGACCTATGCCAAGATGTTTGACAAAGGGCTAGCTGGTTGACAAGATGCCTATTAACCTAGGTTGTCACCTTGTAAAAGGTTTATCTGGCAGCTGTCCTGGCAAAATTTCTCTCATTGCAAACTGCATGGGAATTGAGCCTTAAATCTCTTCAGCAAGTTTCAAGTTCCTGGGATGCCAAGCAATACACTACAAGATGCCTTGTGTGGTATCTTGATGTATGTAACTTCAAGTGCGGTGCTTTTGACCTTCCAATACATTGGTTCTCTTTTTTTTCTATATTTTTAGGCTTTATTTGATGCTGGAGAGTTGATTACTAATCGAGAAGTTGTCTCACAGAAAGTCAGTGAAGAATTAGTAGAGAGAGCTGGTCAGTTTGGTATTGTATTAGATGATATCGCTTTGGTAAGTATTACTGTATACTATTAAAGATACCTCAACAATTAAAATTCAAAAAAGTAGGGTAATGCTGTTGATCTTTCCCTCATTGCACACTACATGGTGGTTTGCCTTTTCATTAGTCTCATTCAGGTGGAGAAAAGTAAGACATTTATCACCAATGGCAGCGGAATATCTCAATCAGTAGTGATTGTATTGTCATCTGTTAGGTGATTAATCCACCTCCGGGTAAAATATGCCACAGCAAGTGCTTTTTAAAGTTGACCTGGTGATGTCTTCCAACCTCATTCTCTATTTCATTTTATTTCTTAAGGCTTCTAATTCAGACCAAATTTCTATTTCACTGTTTATTTTCTAGACACATTTAACGTTTGGTCAAGAATTCACGACAGCTGTAGAATCAAAACAAGTTGCACAACAAGAAGCTGAAAGAGCCAGATATAATGTAGAAAAGGTAACCTTTTTCAATTAAATATGATTTCCTTTCTTGCTTTCCTAATTATTTTTTGACTGCATTGTATTCTAACAAGCTCTGATAAAGGACCCATTTCTGGATAAAATGATTGATTTATGGGATAGTGGAACCCAAATAGGCTGTCATATATTTCTACTTTGGTCTAGTAAAAATGATTTCATTTGATTTTCTTTAAATTCAGGCTGAACAATATAAAATAGCAGCTATCATCACAGCTGAAGGGGATGCCAAGGCTGCCGAATTATTAGCTAAATCATTTGGGGATGCTGGAGAGGGCATGGTGGAACTACGTAAACTTGAAGCCATAGAAGATATTACAGTCAACTTGTCCAAGGCGAGAAATGTGACTTATCTTCCTTCAGGACAGCAGACATTGTTGTCGTTACCACAGTGATGTGGATAATATATGAACTATTAATGAAAATGTTTAGGTTTTTAGTGTCTGTGTGAATGAATTGTTAGTTTATTCTTCAATGGCATATAAGAATCACAAGTTATAAATAAATAAGACAACTATATTAGTTAAATACTATTGTTGTTAAAATTCCAATGTGGTTCTCCCACCATCATCAGGAATATAATGATACTTCTAGAATATTTATTACATTGAAATGCAAGTAATAAATATTCCAGAAGCATTTGAAAATAATAATTGTATTATGTACTTTTCGTATGTGTTCTTCTGCTATAAAATGATTCATTTGTTTTGTTATAAAAAGGCATTAAGAAGAGAAATATGGAAATGTTTGTATATTACAGTAGTATCTGTTGTGTTGTATAAAATCATACAACCCAATGAAAGACACAAATCATGCATTTATATTAGAATTGCTTCCCTTGGATTATGGGTTTACATTGTAGGATCAGTCTGTTATTTAGTGCTATTCAAGCCCTAAAATTTGCATTTTTGTATGGGTCCCATTATGTCAATTGTATTATTGTATAAACTTAAGCAATTTTTTCATGGGCAAACTCAAAGTAATCATAACGTTTTTTTTTTTGCTGAAAATTTTAATCTTCATATCAAAGCACAGGTATTTATTGCAGAAATTTGCTTAGCCTAATAAAAATCATCTAGAAATGTCTAAGAGAACTATTCATTATGATATAATGTTATACATTTTGTGTGGTATGTTTGTATTGAATCTGAATGTGTAACTGACTAAAAATAAAATGTCGTTTTGGTACCGTATTTGTTTAATTGGAATGTAGATTTGTAACATCACCCAACTCTATACTTAAAGGATTGTTAAGAGGTTTTCTTAGGTTTTCATTTGTATCAGGGACACTGAAAGCATCAATTTGTACCATTCTAATTTATAGTCAGACCTTTATAAGAAGCTATTGTAGTAAAACTAAGCATTATAATACGTTTCTCAAAAGCTGATGATACTTCATTAGTAGCTTTTACAACAGTGACATCATATTATATTAGCAACCTTACATGGTGTATCATGTATAATTAAAGAAAACACAGACATCTTATGGAATAATTGGAATGATTAAGATAGAAGCCATAAATGGATCGGATACACCTGAAAACTAACGACCCTCTCTACAATCTCTTTTACTATACAATGTAGGTTCAAATTGAATGGAAACGTAGCTATTACTAGACTTTAATATAAATTTAAAGAGAATTTCAAGGTACCAAAGGGTATTAAATCAGGTCTAATCTCTTTTGGGTGGCTGTGAATACTCCCCACCCCACCCTCGATTTTAAAGCAACTGTCCTGTCCTCAAATATATGTCTGAACACTGATATCACATTTATACCAAGGTCATGTACTGGTGACACCACAAATGGCGAATCTATTCCCTAAAGACACTGCTTGTTAAAACTTTCTAATAAATCAAGGAACATTTCTCTAGATTTTTGTGGGCTTTTTTTCATAAATTTGATCCAAGAATTTTTTAACTTAATGATAAAATGAGAATGTCCCATTTAAACGTTGAAATGTTACCTAAATGGAAGGAAGAATTATTCAGAGTAATTAGAAAGTTAGAAAAAACCAACGGCATAAAGAAAAAAGTTGTACATTTGGAATTTTACCCACTTTACTGATAACCAAATGTTTTATATCACGTGGCGCACTGTCTAGTAGGTATGTCAACAGCTGGAATGATAAAATATAACACGTAAACCTGCAAACTTTATTTGTATACGCCTACATATCGTTTTCCGGGCGTCAATAATTGATCATGTCCCTCTGTTCTCACTTCCTTGTTAATTCTTACGTTTTCAAACTGATTATGATGAAACCTAGAGTTAAAAAATCATCAACACAGTCAGAATCAAGTTAAAATTGTGTTTAGCGATGAAATAAAATTCGTGTAATCCACTTATATTTTTAAAAAATTGGATTAATTTTAATTTTTACCTACATGTATATTGAAGTCATATCTTGAATTGAAAGCAGCCGAAAGACATCGAATCATCAGATGTTTGTTCTAATTAATAAAGCTGTGGACACACGAACGGCTTGGTCGGCGATTTTTGTCTCCGACTAGAGTCTCACCGACCATCTGCGGGCACAACAGCGGACAAAATAATCTCCAAACGGTCGTTTTCCACTATGTCGATAATCACGTGCGGAGCATGCAATTGAAGGGGAAATGAATCAGTTTAGATGATGACGCTCTGTCTTGCAAACGATAAATTTATCGTAGACAAGTATCAAATTTATTTGATATTATAAATTCTGTCGGCAACACGATAATCTTGTCGTGGAAGCACGGGTACACGCTAGATTTAACTCAAGATTTGAGTCGGCGACAAAAATCTGCGACCGAGAATGTTTGTGTGCTCGCACCATAAAAGAGGATTTGTACACATGGGTGGCGACAATTAAACTCGCCACTGACTGACTTATTTGCTAAGCTTGATGCTGATTTAGAATTATTTTAGTGTCCAAAGACCAAATCCTGAAGACAAGATGACTTCCACTTGTGTTAGACACCAAATCGCCTCCGTGATATTTCGACGCCGTGTTGGCATCATTCTATAATTAGAACAAGACCAACTCTAGCTCTCCACGAGAAATATAGCGGAACAACATGGAGTATACAATATTTACTTTAATATGTTTGTTGTCTGTCGTAACGTGTCTGAATTTAAAAGAAACGGTTCCCCATTCTGATCTAGGTAAGTAGAATTCGTTTCTTTGAAAAGCAATTCAAAACTTTAGAAGTTTTGGTGTTTATCGGGGTCCGGATTGTAACTTGCAGTTAATTCTCGACTTGTAATTTATATATCTTGGCATTTAATATTACGTTTAAATGTAGATAAATTGTACTCTATGACCACAGTGAGCTCAGAGTTGAATTTGTTTTCATATTCCATAATAATCCAAATGTAACTTCAATTGCATGCTGTAGGCCTATGTCTTATATTTCAACGACCAGGGGTGGACTAATCAGCTCTGACGCATGGACAATTCAGACCCCAATCGTAATATCCTACTGATCGTTCCTTGTCCTCAATAGTATCACTATAACGTTGCATTGTTCATTACAGAATGTCATGGAACGAGCGTTGGTTTAGGTTACAGTGGCTCACGGCAAAACCATTATAACAATTTAAAGAAACGGTACATGGGCTGTACGGTGGTCCATGGTAATTTAGAAATCACCAACTTAGACGATCCTAACATCGATTACGACTTGTCCTTCCTCTCCGACATACGTTACGTCTCCGGATACGTGTTTATTGGACTGGTATCGGAGTTGGACACACTAGAGTTGAAGAGTCTTGAAGTCATACGCGGTAACAGAACGTATGCTATACACGGAGAAGCTTACAGCTTGGTTGTGTCCTTAACGTCAAGGTATCACAGTCCACATCTTGGTCTTCAACAGTTACATCTTCCAGCTTTAAAAGGTAGAGTTTATTTCTTATTTTTGACACCCACTTTCTCGAATACTGAGTTTAGCTAATTATCAGTAAGTTAAACACTAGTCTTGTCACACTGAGATATTTAATTCTGTTTGCTCTAGGTTATAAGGCTGTAATTGAGCTTTATGGGCTGTTAAGTTTCAAATTTCTAGATGGCATACCAATAGCTCAAATTGAGCTCTATCAACTGGATAAGCTAATGTTATATTACTATAAAGTTAGCTAATATTTATACTCTATGGTACCACCAGCTGTTCATGCGAATATTTATTTTACTTTACATATAGCTGAAATTATACTCTATCAGTTCATAAAGTAAATATTGAGACAACATTAAACATTTTTGCAGAGATCGTAGAAGGCAGAGTGATGTTTATTGGGAATCCGGTGTTGTGTTTTATCAATACGATACCTTGGTATAAAATAACTCGTCTCTTCAACTCGACAGACAACCACAATCCTGTATATTATGGTGAGAGAGCATACTCCACCAACTGTAAGTTTCTTTTATTTTAAACCATGTGATGCATTAGACTGTTTTGCAGACTTTAAAAACGAATGTGATATCGTCATTGTTCTTGTCCTATATCCTCAGACCTAATAAATAAATGTGATATTGTCACTGTTTTTGCCTTAGTTCCTCGGACGAATGTGATATTACCACAGATCTGGCTTTTGTTCGCCAAACGTGATACGCATGAGTTATCGTCACTGTTCTGGCCCGTAATGCTCAGAGGTAATAAATGAATATGATATTGCCATTGTTCTGACCTTAATTCCTCAGACGTGATATAGGATTGTGATATCGCCTCTGTAAATCATCAAACGTAATAAACTATTGTGATATTGCCACTGTTTTGGCCTAAGTTCCTCAAACGTGACATACTAATGTGATATCTCCTCAGCTCTGACCTTAGTTCGCCAGACGTAATATAGGAAGGGGATATCGTCACTGTTCTGGCCCGAAATCCCCAGAGGTAATAAACAAATATGGTATTGTCACTGATCCCAGTTCCTCAGACAAACTATGCAGATGTGATAACGTCACTGGTCTGACCCAGTTCCTCAGACGTGACACAAGGGTGAGATGTCGTCATGAAACACAGTGATTTCAAATGGCCCAAATTTTGACTGAAATTGTCCCATGTAAAAACAGATTTCAAAGGCTATCAGTAATGTTTTGACACCTTTGTTCCAATTCTGATTAAAAAAATAGCAGTAAAGCTCGTAAAGAAAGATATTATTTTGATTCAGTCTGAATGCTGTAACATTATTTCCTTGTAAAAGTCCTTTTTAGCATCTGATATGAAATTTTTCAGGCGATGATTGTCCTCAAGAATGTTCTTTCAATGGGGCTTCAAGATGCTGGGGACCCAGACCCCAATTATGCAGTAAAGGTTTGTAGGCTGAATCCTTTACTTTACAACCAATATCGGTTGCCTTGGCAAAGGTAATTATTTCAAGGATAACAACTTAGCTTCATGAAGACCCGTTTTACCAGTTGGTCATTGTACAAATCCTTTGGCATGGATCTTTCCTGGATTATTAGTACATATTTACAGTTGGGTCGACTGGAACAATAAGAAAAGTTATTCATGATCATTTGATCTCCTGACTTACTTTCTTTGAACGAGATAATTGATTAACGGAATTGTCTTGCTGGTACGGATTTTGTACGAGATTAGAACCCACGAGCATTGTTAATTTTTACGTAACCATGATTATGATTATGATTATGGTTGTGTGAAGATTCCAATACTCTTACCGACGGTGCTACAGACCGTTCTATTGACTTGATTATATTTTAATTAGATATTGACTACGGCTGTCATTCAACATGTAATGGTCGATGTTATAAAGGAGGGGAGGATGGGTGCTGTCATAAACTGTGCTCTGTAGGATGTACAGGGCCAACAGCAAGCGATTGTTATGTAAGTACAAGTCTTTAAAAGAGGGGTATTGGCCGATATTTCCACAATGTCAAGCTGTAATTCCTGGACTACAATAACCATCATTGTCAAGGCAGCGATTTGAGTGGATTGTACGCTACCAAATACAGCCAATGAGAGCCCTGGACAGAAAGCCTGTAAACCATAAGCCACAATTTTTATGGCATTTATGTATGTCAAGGGCTCTGATTGGCTGTATTCGCTAACGTGTAATCCAATCAATCGCTGCATTTTGTGATACAAACATTGTGGCAATTGCAGTCAAGGTATAAGAAGAAGTTCATAATAGGTTGATATTTTGAAGATGTGATTTGGATTGAAAGTCACTATTAAAGTATGAGTATGTACCTATTGTATTTTGTTATATCTAGACGAGAATTAAAAGCTGATCAATGAACATTATGTTGAAAACATTTTAGAAATCGGAAAGTCATCATCAGCTGAACTTTATAAAACATTGATTACTCCCTTTAATGCTATTAATGACAACTTTACAAGTGTTCAGTCTCCTGCTTGGTGTCTTCTATTTGGTTTCATTAAGGGGTTATTATTTCAGGTTTGTCGAGATTTTAAGATGGAAGAAAGTGGAGAATGTGTGACTCACTGTCCGGACTCGACATATACCAAGAGTCAAAAATGTATTCTATTTTAAGGGGCTATTTGGGCAATGAGTAATTTGATAATCCAATGCACGAACTCAAAGCCTACTTGTGTATTGCAAAAAAATCATATCGCTGACTCACTGTCTGTACTCCAAGAGTCAAAACTGTACTCTATTTTAAGAGTCACCTTGAGTTATATCCATGCAATTCCTCTGAAAATAAGACTTTTATGACGTCACTATCGTAAAGGCCCTTAGATATTATTAAAAGCTCTTGCCAAATACACACAAACAAGATAATTGTAGACACACAGACGAGCTATCATCTACATGTAGATTAATTCTTTAATCAGAATTCGAATGCCTCTTATTGTAGTGTTATAACAACATTATGGCTATTGTTTCAAGATGGATTACATGTAAACTTTACAATAAACTTATATATCAATTTTGTTTTATTTTTAACAATACTACCCTTTGCTTATTTTTTATCCTTTCATAGGTCGCGATGGTGCCTTCTGATTTTTATCTATCGGGTACCCCCTCCCCTCTATCTCTATGAGAGGCTGAAATGAAAAAGCGTTTGGTGGTACGGATGGGACTATAAACCCTGTGTTCTGAAGGCTGTGTACGTTAATAGACAATCGACAAGCTAATGCTGCATGCCTGACAAAAGTTTCCCGGAATGTTCACTATAAAACGTTGCACGTCTTCATGAGACAAATTAGTTAATTGATAGAAATGAAATGAATATGGCTGCGAATAAAAATATGAAATCAGTTCAAACTTTCCAGTAGTTTTAAACATTGTTTTGAAAACCCGAAATATGTCTACAGTTGGAAGATTTTATATTTGAGTCAGTTTTCGAATGAGCATTTACTGTCAATTAAAGTCAATTATCGTATGATCGTTTTCTGTACTGTTTCCGTGCACTCTCGTAAAATGGAGGCGTTTCTAGTCCGATGTTACAATAATGGCTGCCCTTTCTATTTTTGTGTATACATTGTAATTTTGACTTTAATGGGGAATTAGAATTAGTGAAATGTGTATGTTTAGCAAGGCGAGCAAAGCAAT